ACTCTCACTCACACACACACTCTCACACACACACTCTCACTCACACACTCACACACACACACACACACACACACTCTCACTCACACACTCACACACACACACACACACACACACACACACTCTCTCTCACACACACACACACACACACACACACACACACACACACACCAGGAGAATGGGGAAAATGATGAGCTGGAGGGAAATGGAGATGGAAGCAGAGATAGGATGTTAGAGGAGAAGGGAAATAGATGGTGAAGATAAGCAGCGGATGTGCTCTCCAACACTGTCTGGATCTTCAGTTTAACTGCTGTCTGTCGGGACAGATTCACTTTCTGACCACAGTTAGTTCCCGGACCGTCAAGTGCTGCAGATCAGCTCTGTGTGTGAAATAATCAGTAGCCTCTACTTATTTTGGGGGGTATTTATGTGTGCCAGTGATGTTATTATTAACTAAAACTTAAAAACAACAACAACAACACATTTTTGTTAACTAAACTAAAATAAAATATAAATATTAGATGAAAAACTTTAAATGTCACCGTGGCAACTATTTGAAATAAGTTGAAGTGACTAATTAGAATAAAAACCAAAACATAATAAACATGAGAGAAGCACATAAATAAATTACTACAAATGAAACTAAATTGAATTGAAATTGAATAAAATATAATAATAGATGAAAAACTTAAATGAAATGAAAATTAGAAATGTTGCCTTGGTAACTAACTGAAATAAGTTTAAGCTCTAATATTAAAACTGAATATAAATTAAAACCATTTAGTAAAATTATTTTAAAAAAGCTATAAACGTGATAAAATCACAAAACGAAAAAAATAAATAAACTGAACTAAATTGAACTGAAAAAAGCTGAAAGCCAATAAAACATAAATATTAGATGAGAAACTTAAACCAAATGGGAAAATTAGAAATGTTGCCTTGGCAATAAATGAAATAAGTTTAAGTACTAAAATTACTAACTGAAATTAATTAAATTATGATGAATGAATCTTTCAGCGCTCCAGTTCGACTCGGACCGAAGACTGATGAGCCGATGATGTGCGCATGCGTTTATCTGCTTTACACATGTAAACCATGCACATTTCACATCATTATTGGGTGCTTTAATAATATAATTGCATATATTGTACGTCATTGCATGATTGCGTAAACAAACTAGTGAATTGAACCAGTTCATTGAAACGAGCTGTCCAGTTCGCAGAAAATTAGCGGCATATCTGATCCTGTGATGAATGAATCTTTCAGCGCTCCAGTTCGACTCGGACCGAAGACCGATGAGCCGATGATATGCGCATGCGTTTATCTGCTTTACACATGTAAACCATGCACATTTCACATCATTATTGGGTGCTTTAATAATATAATTGCATATATTGTACGTCATTGCATGATTGCGTAAACAAACTAGTGAATTGAACCAGTTCATTGAAACGAGCTGTCTGAAAGAACCAGTTCGCAGAAAAGAATCAGATTTCCCAATTTGCCTGAGGCTCTGGATTACAGGTGATAATGTTGTAAATAACGTTTAGTTTCTTGCACAGGCTGATCATTTCGCTTCATAAGACCTCAATATATCGTCAGAAGCAACGGGGATTCATTTCACGTTGCCTGTATGTGCTTTTTTGACTCTTAAAGTGCCGGTAGCCATTGACTTGCATTATGTGAATCACCACGTTTTCAGCTAAAAATCTTCTTTACTGTAATTCGGAAGAAAAAAAAACTCACCTACATCTTGAATAGCCTGAGGGAGAGTGACTTAACAGTGAATTCGAATTTTTGGGTGAACTCTCCCTTTAAAAGCAGTCCGAAGGCATTTAAGAGACGTGTCCGAGGGGGAGTGGTTTGTACGGTCCATCAGCTGTCAATCAGTCCCTCAGCTGGGCTGTGATTGGCTAATTCCAGCCCCTCCCACTACTGCCAGTTAAAGGTGCGTCCTATGAGCCGGTAGAAGTTCCGATTGTGTTGGCGCAAGTACAAACGCAGCTGTCGCAGCACAGTGCTGTTAACAGGCGGATGCGGCCGTCCTTTCGACTCGTGCAGGCATCGCTCATGGCCGTCACTGCGAATGCAGTAGAAGCCTTTGGTCTGGTTAAAATAGAAGTTGGACGCCACGATCCGAGGCGGCAGATGCAAGAAGCGTTCGACTCGCTGGAGCTCCGGTAAGGGGTCATGGATAAGCGTATCCCCGTCCACAATGTGGATCTGCTCCAGAGGAAATTGCTGGAGCCAGTTCCTCATGTGGACGTCGTAAAGACTGCGCTGGATGGCTTTGTAGCGCGTGTTTAGCGCGCCGTTCTTGACTAGCATGTTCTCGATGGCCTGTACGGGTTTGTGGTTCTCCAAGCGGTTGAAGTAGACTTGCGTATAGTCCGATATGACTCTCTCCGTCGGGTCTCTCAGGATCAGCAAGAGTCTGATGGAAGCGTTCATGGCGTGGATCCGCGCAGGCGCCACCGGAGACGTGAAGTACCCCGGCGTCTTTTCCACGGTGATCTGATTTGGGTACGAATAGGGCATTTGGTCCCGGTACCATTCGAAGCCTTTGGCGTAGTTCTCGTCCCAGTCGAAGAAGTGAACTTCGGTGGCCGCCGCTGCTACTTCGGGATGGATATCCAGCATTTCCAGCAACGCTCTGGTGCCTCCTTTCCGCACGCCGATGATGATGCTGTGCGGAGCGTGTTTGCTGGTTCCTGGAGGGGGGACTAAAGAAGGGCCAACCGTATCGTTGCCCAGATCTCCCGGGGCCGGCGTCAATCCCCCGGGCCACACTTGGATGGACTCCGGCGGGGCAGCGAACGTCCGGAGCGCCAGGAACAAAACATAGCTCAGAAGATTAGCCATGGAGAGCGTGAGAAGAGATAGAGAGGAAGAACGGCGGTCGGCGTTGAAGGAGTTTCTGTTCAGTCACAGCTGCAAGAGCTCAAGGACAAGGTCCACAGCGCATCTGGAAAACACAGGAGAAAGATCAGTTAACTTCACATACTATTGAGATTTAAAATGAAATTAAGATTAAATAAAACAAGCCTTAACAAGCTTAACAAGGCTTAAAAATTACTAAAATAAACGAAAACGAAAGTCACTTAAAATATAAAAATAAAAGCTTATTCAAAATAATATAATAGTACATAGACAGCTAAGTTTAAGCTGAAGTACTAAAATTACTAAAACTGAAAATAGATTAAGCTGTCAAACGATTTATCACATACAAAATAAAAGATTGTGATTACATGTTTGTGGACTGTGTATATTTATTATGTATATATAAATACACATACATGTATATATTATATTATTATATATATATATATATTCTACTTTGCACTGAGTTATTATAGCTTTTATTAATATTTTGAATCAATTTTCAGACATTTATATTTTTGTTAAAGTTTTAGTCATTTTGTTATTTTTATAATTTTTATTTATTAAAACTATCTAGACATATATTGTGTTTGGTCATTTCTAGTTTGTTATTTCAATACATCAACTGAAATAAAATACGTTAAATATTTTTATATTTTCTTTCATTTTCTTTCAGTTAAAGTACTGTTATTTTTTTTTATTTTTTTTTACGGTTCTAGTTTCAGATTTAGTTAACTATAATAACTCTATGCTAAATCACAATGAAGTTAGTGGTGGTGGTCAAATTTCCATTATTTTGCACCATTTATGAATATTTTCCCAATCTAGCTTTTCAATCACATCCTAAGCTGTTGATCCACAAATTAAATTTCTCATATACCCTCTAAAGACCCTCCTGAGAAAATGTGACCAAACTAACTGAGATTCCTCCAAATATTTCATAAAGCCAAGCCAGTTAAATTGGTTTTATGTGCGGCCAGACACTGCATGCAATATTATTGAATTCCAGTCATAATGGCTGCTTAAAACCCCTCATAACTCAGTAAGCAATTTGATTACATACATGAAAAGTGTTGCTATGTTTATAAAAAAAAGCACTGCAAAAATTACCCAGCAATCCACAGTCATACCTCGAGATCAGCGAGATCAATCCACTGCCGTCCTTTCTCAGATCACATTTAAAACCTATTGGAAGATAACAGCAGCGGAGACGTGTTTCTTTTCACTAAAGCTGATTCTTTTATCGCTTCAGCGGACTTAAAGAAGAGCCAAGGTCAAAGTCAGAGCCGAGACTGAGAAACGAGAGCGGAAAGATCCTCGCTGATTGAGTTCAAAGGATCCTCAAGTATCTCATGCAAATGTGTGAATTCACAAACATCTTCTGACCTTTACGCTTCATCAGATTCCCGAGCGGAGCAAACAGAGACACAGTTAACAGACTCTCATACACAGACCAAACAGCTGAGCCTCCAGTCACAATATTCCTCCAGTTAAAGGTCACTTCGGTGCCATTTACCGCCGCTCTCCAAACTGATTAAAGCGTATAACTCTATTACAGATTACAGCCATCTGCACGCTTTCATGAGACACGATTACATGACTTGATTGCTGCACCGAGAACACTTAATCCAAACTCCACTCATCACATATTAATCATTACGTTTATTATGATTAGCCTCTTCAAGTTCTTGGATGCTGACTGGTCACGCTGGTTAGCTGTGAAACGAGACCTGCAAGAAAACCCTAATAATTACAAACAAGGGCTATCTAGGGCCCTATGATTTCCGTGATGGAGAAAATGCAGACGCAATCGCAGAATCCAGTCATAAAAATGGAATTTACTGTATAAATATATATATTTACTGTATATTTTCTTAAATGTGACCCTGGACTACAAAACCAGTCATATTTTTTTTAATTGAGATGTATACATCAGCTGAAAGCTGAATAAATAATCTTTCCATGGATGTATGGTTGGTTAAGATCGGACAATATTTGGCCGAGATGCAACTATTTGAAAATCTGGAATCTGAGGGTGCAAAAAAAATCTAAATATTGAGAAAATCATCTTTAAAGTTGTTCAAATGAAGTTCTTAGCAATGCATATTACTAATCAAACATTAAGTTTTGATATATTTACAGTAGGAGATTTACTAAATTATAATAAAACACAGAATCCAGAAAAGTTGTTTAAATTAATTTAAGCAATATCATACAATAATTAATTTAAACTGTAAACCTGACGTGCAGCACTTTTGGCAAATTTCATTTCATATTTAAAAGATTAATTAATTGTTAAAGTTTTGTGCATTTATTTGATTTCCATAATTTTTGATAATGAATTTGTATTCAATCATAAAACACAGAAAATAGGTTAATTACAATGGAGCATTTCTGAAAAATGAAACATTTCAAAGGGCCATTTTATTGTTAAAATTAAAGAAATTATTACATTGTTAAAGTTTTATGAATTCAATTGATTAGACATGAGCATTAATGGAAAAAAAAGTTATGAATTTGTATTCAATCATAAAACACAGAAAATAGGTTAATTACAATGGAGCATTTCTGAAAAATGAAACATTTCAAAGGGCCATTTTATTGTTAAAAATTAAAGAAATTATTACATTGTTAAAGTTTTATGAATTCAATTGATTAGACATGAGCATTAATGGAAAAAAAAGTTAAACATTAAAAATGGAATCCAGAAAAATGTCAACAGAAAACATCAAAATGGAGAAAAAAATCAAATGGAATTTGAAAAAAAAAATGAAACATTTGATAGATCTCTGTTATTGTTACATCTTTAATAAATTATGAAATTGTTTTTTTTTAAGAATTCAGTTGATTAAACATCCTTCTTGACGAATAAAATTAAATTAAACAGAATTTAAAAAATGGAATCCAGAAAAATTATTAAATTAAAACTTAAAAAAAATGTAAACAGAAAACATAAAAATGGGAAAACAATAAAATGGAATTTGAAAAAAATTTAACATTTGACTCTAACAGAAACTCTGTTATTGTTACATCTTTAATACATTAATAAATTATATTAAAAAAATTTTAATTCAGTGGATTAGACATTCTTCTTGATAAATACAATTCAATTAAACAGAATAAAAAAAAAATGGAATCCAGAAAAATGAAAGCTGTGCAGAAATTGAAATTGAAAAAAAAGACAAAAACAAAAAACTAATTTCATAGAGCCCTATTATTGTTAAATTTGTAATAAATTATTAAATAGTTCAAGTTATAGGAGTTAAATTAATTAAATGTACCTTTTGATTCTTAAAATTTTATTAAACCATTAAAAATGGAATTCAGGAAAAATTAAGCAGAAAACATTAAAATTGGGAAAAAATTTAATTAACTTTGAAAAAAAAAAAAAACATTTCACAGAGCACTATTATTGTTCAAATTTATTAAAATATAAAAAATATTAAATTGTTAAAGTTTTATGAATTCGATTAATTAGACATCCTTTTTGATTATTACAATTAATTAAACGGAATAAGAAAACAGAATCGCAAAAATGCAATGGAATTTTGGGAAAAACAAAACCGATTTCATAGGTTTCTTAGCTTTAGGGTTTTGTTTCCAGCCTCCTGTGCAGAAGAAGCTCAACTGTATGACAGTGTCAACTTTATTTTCCCACAAACTGCTTCCCATTTCTCTCTCTTTTTTATTATTCACATCATCTTCCCGCGAGCTCAGAAAGTGACACTGCTTGTGTCTCCGGCTGTAATCTGTGCGCAGGGACGGAGAGACGGATGGATGGACAGATGAGGAGCAGAGGGGAATGAAGGAGCTCCAGTGTTTGGCTGAGATGAACTGATGTGGCTGATGCACTGCGGCATTTCTGTCTGCCTGTCAGCGGTCAGACAGTAGAAGAGCTGCCAGGTCTGATGCTAACAGCAAGACGCGCGGCCAAGACTACTGTCGAAACCAATCCGGCTCACCGCAGCGCTGCATGCAACAAAACCTCTAAAACCAGCCCAGTGATCGCAAGGCTCTCAGGTAGTTTCTTGGTGGTACAGAAGCCTGTGGTTTCTCCCAAAATATATTTGGACACTTAAAAATGTCCGAGTATCATTGCATTAGATAACAAATATTAAATCAAGTGGCCTATGCAAACAAAAACAACCTACAGCAAACCAGTGTTTCTTTGCAAGTTCACTGGTGATTTACCTTCACATTTAAATGCAAATGTATTTCCAGGCAGTGCATGAATTGATAAAAGCTAAATGCAATGCAAGTTGCTTTGGATAAAAAGCATTTGCAAAATGCATATGTGACCCTGGACCACAAAACCCGTCATATGGGTCAATTTTTCGAAATTGAGATTGATACATCACATGAAAGCTGAATAAATAATCTTTCCATTGATGTATGGTTTGTTAGGATAGGACAATATTTGAAAATCTGGAATCTGAGGGTGCAAAAAAATCTAAATATTGAGAAAATCATCTTTAAAGTTGTCCAAATGAAGTTCTTAGCAATGCATATTACTAATCAAACATTAAGTGTTGATATATTTACTGTAGGAAATGTACAAAATATCTTCATGGAACATGATCTTTACTTAATATCCTAATGATTTTTGGCATAAAAGAGAAATGTATAATTGTGACCCATACAATGTATTGTTGGCTATTGCTACAAATATCCCCCAGCGACTCAACACTGCTTTTGTGCTCCAGGATCACATATGTTAAAATGCACATTATAAAAGTACAAGAATGACTTTTGTATGGACTATTGTATAAGTAATATTACAACCGTGCATACTGAACTATGGTTAGAACCAAATTGTGAATTTAACGAGCAGGCCTGAGACAAAAAAGAAAAAACATCACAAGTTGTCTGTCATGCAATAGTCAAAAGTATATAATAAATATCATATACATCTGTATGCATTTGCATAGCTTAAAAAAAGATAAACAGACAAAATAAAATAAAAACACCACAAGCTGACTATCATATTACAGTCCCACATATATAATAAATCAAATTAATACCTAAATAAATAAAGTAAAATAGCCAATAAATAAATAAATAAAAAATAAAATTTATCTATCTATC